ACTGCCATCTGGTTCACTAATGTCCTTTAGAGAAGGAAACTGCCATCCTTACCTGGTCTGGCCTACATGTGACTCCAGACCCACAGCAACATGGTTGTACTCTTAACTGCCCTCTGGGCAATTAGGGATGGGTAATAAATGCTGACCATTAAAAATGTGAAAAAGTGGTGTATTAAAAGTGAGAATGAAGAGGAGGTGGTTGTACTCTTTCTGATAACCTTGTGTCGATGAACATTTCGGAAACCTTAACAGGTTTTGCCTGAAGGACGGTGAAGGTTCGAGATAGAGACCAAGGGAGAACTCTGGGTCAAATGACCTGCGTCCAGAGGCTGGAGGAAGCCAGGGCCCTGGGCCTTGGGGATAGTCCAAGGGGTGGGTGCCCTGTGGGCGGGGCCAAGAAGGACTAGTGGAGGAGTGTTGGGGAGGGGCTGGGAGCAGGAATTTCATTGAAGGGAAATTCCATTGGAAGCTTTCCCCTGGAGTTGCAAGTGTAATATGGTGGCTGTGATGTCGATTCTGAGGCTTAAAGGGATCAGGATCCAATGGCTGAGTGGACTCTTTACAGTTTTGAGCCTTATTTAGATTTTGTTTTTGCATAATTGTCCGTTTTGGAGTCATTCCAACAGCATCATTCTCTTCCCAACTATTTCCTGCCCAACCTCCTGCTAGTACATGTATGCTGGGGTGAATGGTCTCCTGCACTATAATAATTCTATGATTTCACCCTCAAAAAACCCGTGCTTATCAACAATCTCTGCTGCTTGTGTCCCAGCTCAGACATCAAGTCCTGTTCCCCGATCTCTCCCTGTAAATCACTCACTTACACAGGACCAGCAACACCTCACCCTCAATCTCAAACCTCCCCCATGCTCTCGCCTCCTTTCTATCACTGTTATTTCCTCCAATATCATTGCTTCCCCTCCATGGCCATGCAACTAGATAAGGTGGTAAAGAAGGTGTATGGTATGCTTGCCTTTATTGGTCGGGTAATTGAGTACAGCAGTCAGGATGTCAAGTTGCAGCTTTATAAGACATTGGTTAGGCCACACTTAGAGTATTGTGTTCAGTTCTGGTTGCCACATTACAGAAAGGATCTGGAGGCTTTGGAGAGGGTGCGGAAATGGTTTATCAGGATGATGTCTGCATTAGAGGGTATGAATTGTACGGAGAGGCTAGAAAAACTCAGGTTGTTTTCTCTGGCATGGCAGAGGCTGAGGGGAGACTTGATAGAAGTCTATAAAATTATGAGATACGTAGATAGGGTTGACAGTCAGAATCTTTTTCCCAGAGTTGAAAAGTCTAATACTAGGGAGCACACATTTAAGGTTAGAGGGGGAAAGTTCAAAGGAGATGTAAGAGGCAAGTTTTTTACACAGAAAGTTGTTGGAGTCTGGAACACATTGGCAGGGGTGGTGGTAGAGGCAGATATGATAGGGGCATTTAAAGGGTTTTTAGATAAGCACATGAATATGCAAGAAATGGAGGGATATTAGGCCAAGGACAAGTAGAAAGAATTAGTTTCATTTGCCATCATGTTTGGCGCAACATCATGTTTGGCGCAACATCATGGGCTGAAGGGTCCATTCCTGTGCTGTACAGTTCTACATTCTATGTTCTATGTTCTCCGATTTGCTCCATGCACAATTTCCCCCTTTCGCTCACTCCAACATTGTTGCTCTGCCTTCAGTTTTGGAATTCCCTTCAGAAAATGTTCCACCTCTGACTTTTTTGTCTTGCCTTAAGATGCTCCTTAAAATCTTTTTGACCGAGCTTCACCTACAATGGGTTATTGTATAAACCTGGAAATACTGGGGGCCTGTAGGAACAGTACAGCAATGATCACAGGTGTTTTGTATCTGCATACAGCATGGATTAATCAAATTGGCAAGGGTATCTGCAAGAGAGAATTCAATGTATTTGAGATTGTTTCTTGGAGCATATGTTGTGGAACCAACTGGAGAGCAGGCTATTCTGGATTTGGTATTGTGCAATGAGGTGTGATTAATTAATGATCTCAAAGTAAAAGATCATCTAGGGAAGAGTGATCATACCTGCTAGAATTTCTTAACCAGTTGGAGGATGAGAAGCTGGAATCCCTCACTACTGTTCTGGAGTTAAACAAAACATAGACACGAGGACAGATCTAGTGGACTGGGCGGGAAGACAAGAATAAGGAATAGTAATCTTTTTATTCTTCATAGAATCCCTATAGTGCAGATAGAGGCCATTCAGCCCATCAAGTGTGCACCAATCCTCCAAAGAACATCCCACCCAGACCCTCTCCCTTATCCCCATTATCCCACATTTCCTATGGCTAATCCACCTAGCTCGCACATTCTTGCACACTACGGGGCAATTTCCCATCGCCAGTCCATCTAACGTCTTTGGACTGTGGGACGAAACCGGAGCTCCCAGAGGAAACCCACGCAGACATCGGGAAAATATGCAAAGTCCACACAGACAATTGCTGAAGGCCACCATCGAACCCAGATCCTGGGTTCATGTGCTGTGCGGCAGCAGTGCTAACCACTGAGCCACTGTTGTGGGACGCAGTTGATGAGAAGTGACAGATGTTTAAGGAAATAATTGCTCCCAACTAAAATATATTCCAGAAAGGAAGGAAGATTGTAAGAGGGGAATAAATCATCCATGGGTAAGCAAGGACATTAAAGATAATATAAAGAAAACTATGTGGTTCTCTGTAGCATAGTGGATAGTATCCTTGCCTATTACACGGGAGACTAGGGTTCAATTTCCTGCCGGGGAGGATCCAAGTTTCTCGGCGGCACGATGGCTCAATGGTTAGCACTACTGCCTCACAGTGCCAGGGATCGAGGTTCGATTCCACCTTCAGGCAACTGTCTGTGTGGAATTTGCACATTCTCCCCATGTCTGCGTGGGTTTCCTCTGGGTGCTCCGGTTTCCTCCCCACAGTCCAAAGATGTGCAGGCTAGGTGGATTGGCTGTGCAAAATTGCCCATAGTGTTCAGGGATGTGCAGATTAGGTGGGTTATAGGGGGATGGGTCTGGGTGGGATGTTCTGAGGGTTGGTGTGGACTTGTTGGGCTGACGGGCCTGTTTCCACACAGTAGGGTTTCTAAGATTTAAGAACGAAGGCATACCAGATTGCAAAAACAAGAGGCAGGCAGGAAGATTGGAATGTTTTAAAGATCAACAAAGGGTTACTAAAAAAGTCATGAAACAAATAAAGATAAATTATGAAAGAAAACCAGTGCAAAATACAAGATTGGAAAGCAAAAGCTTCTGTAAATAGATAAGGGAAGTGAGTAGCTAAAGTGAATGTTGGTCCCTTGGAGGATGAGACTAGGTAGATTATCGTGGGAAACACATTAATGGCAGAGTGATTAAATCAATATTTTACTTCAGTTTTCATAGTGGAGGACACTAAGTAAAGTAGAGGTTATAGAAAAAAAGGAACTTAGAACAATCATCATCACTAGAGAATGAAAGAACAGAGAAAAATTTTGGGATTGAAGGTGAATAAGTTCCCATGGCCTGATGGTCTACATCCCATGTTCTTAAAGGAAGTGGCAGCAGAGATGGTGGTTCTATTGGTTATAATATTCCAAAGATCTCTGCATGCGGGAAAGGTTCTCGTTGATTGGAAAAATGTGAATATACTGTCCTTGTTCAAAAAAGTGGGGACAGACAGAAAGTAGGAAACTATAGAGCAGTTAGTTTAACATGTGTCATCAGGAAAAAGTTAGAATCCATTATTAAGGAAGCAATAACAGGATATTTGGAAAGTCAAGATACAATCCAGCAGTGTCAGCATGGTTTTATGAAGGGTAAACCATTTTTGACTAATTTATGAGAGTTCTTTGAAGATGTAACAAGCCAATGTGGATAATGGGGATCCTGTAGATATAGTATATCTAGATTTCCAGAAGGCATTTGATAAGGTGTCATGCAAAAGGTTAATACACGAGGTATGATCACATGGGGTTGGGGTAATTTACTAAGTTGGATAGCAGATTAGCTAACCGACAGCAAACTGAGAGGTGGGGTAAATGAATCTTTTTTTCTGGTTGGCAAATTGTAACTAGTGGGGTACTGCAAGGTTCAGAGCCCAGGCCCCAACTATTTACAATCAATATCAATGACTAGGATACAGCAATAGAAAGTACGATAGCCAAATTTGCAGATGGCACTGAAATAGGTTGGACAGTAAGTTGTAATGAAGGATTAAGAAATTTACAAATGGAAGTAGGTAGGTTGGGTGAATGGGCCAACATTTGGCAGATGAAATTTAATGTGGATAAATGGGAGACTTTTGAATAGAGAAGCAACTTATTATATAATGGAAACGGACTCCAGAGCAGAGGAATCATGGTGTCCTTGTGCGTGAATCACAGCAAACTAATATACAGGCACAGCAAGTACTAAAGAATGCAAATTGAACTTTTGGCATTTTTTGCTGAAGGAATGGAGTATAAAGATAGGGAAATGTTGCTGTGATGTCACTGGGCTAAGTAATTCAGAGGCTCAAGCTAATGATCCAGGAATGATAAACTTCAGTGATGAGGACAAACTAAAGAAGTTGGGAGTTCTCCTTGGAGAGGAGGCTGAGAGGAAATCTGATAGAAGTTTTCAGAATCATGGGTAAGCTAGATGGTGTGGATCGGGAGAATTTGTTCCTGCTCATTTAAGGATTAAAAATGAGAGCATTTACGTTTAAAGCGATGTACAAAACAAAAACAAATGTGATGTGAGAAATCAGCGAGTTGTTAGGGAATTGAATGCACTGTTTGGAAATATGGTGGAGGCATGTTCAATTGAGACCTTCAAGAGGGGCATTGGATAGTTATTTGGATTGAAATGGTGTGCAGAAATATGGGGAAAGGCAGAAGACTGGCACTAAGTAATAGAACCAGACTAAATAATGCAGCCAGAACAAGCATAATGGACCAAATGGCCTTTTTTACACTGCAATAATTCTGTGGTTCAAGGGAGACTCTCCAAAACGAGGGTCTATAAATGGTGCTACCTCCTCACCCACAGAGGGGCAGATGGCTTTGCCCTCCCCTGCCTCCAAGGAGAAGTTTCTCCTCCTCCTTGTTTTCCCAGATGGTTGGGGCATGAGGGAAAAGTTTCCTCTGTGGCTATCCTCCTGCTCCACTGCCTTGTTCCCATGTGTGTTGACTTGGAATGGGGTCTAGTCAGGTTCCTGACTGGGCTCAGAGTCACTCCTGGGTTACGTGCCAGACCAGAGATTTCACATCCATTTTGACCAAATCCCAATGTGAAGGTGCTTGAATCTTAAGTTCAGATTGCTTTGGGTGGGACTCAGACTCTCACTGTCTGGATTATTAGACTTGGATTTGTCTAACTCACAATGTTTGAGTCTGTAGCTCCTCTATCCCAGGCTTCCCCTGTGTGTTTGAGTAAAATATTGAGTGAATATTGGTGATGATGGTGAGGAGTTTGATGATGATCATGACTGTTGGATGGTTAGTGGCAAGGGACTGGTAGACAGTGAATGGATGTTTACAGCTCCCAGTGGGTGCTCAGTTAGCAGTGATTAGTTGCCAGTTTTGTATGTGATGTTGGACCCTGTGTTTATTACCTTCTGTACAGATGACAATGGCGAGTGTGTTGTCCCGACGTTTGGGTAAACGATCGTTGCTTGGTGCCACTGTTCACACCCCCAGTCCTTCCGGGAATGGGATCCTGATTCCCGGTGTTATCCAAGCGTACAGGCTAGATTCTGGGAAAGGCAACTCCTCTTACACTGTGTCGTTTGAGGATGGTCAATTTAAGGAGTACAACGAAGACAGCATCATTGGACCAGGGTTCCAGAGCCTCTCTCGGTTCAAACTCTACCCGGGACAGAAGGTAAGTGCAGCTGACTGCAGGAGGAGTGCTTGTGGGCAGCTCAGTGCCTGCCTGCGGGGGAGCGGGGGGGCAGCAGAATCCTGGGGGAGAGGATAACTTAAGACAGTCAGTGAAAACCTCTTTTCCCTTTCTGCATCTCCAGTCAATTCTTCTGATGTGGCTCACTCCCACTTCAGAGACAGTCCCCTCAACCCCATCCAGGGCTGAAAGAGTTAACACATGAAGACTGGCTAAACCAGTTAGAGCTCTATCCATTGGGGTTTAGAAGAACGAGAGGTGAGCTTATTGTAACGTAACAGATCCTGAGGGGACAGAATATGATGGATACCTAGAAGATGTTTCCTCTTGTAGGGGAGACTAAAACTAGGGGATATAATTTAGAATCCCTATAGTGCAGATAGAGACCATTTGGCCCATCATGTCTGCACCAACCCTCTGAAAAGCATCCCACCCTATCCTTAGATAACAAGGTGCAGAGCTGGATGAACGCAGCAGGCTAAGCAGCATCAGAGGAGCAGGAAAGCTGACGTTTCGGACCTAAAACATCAGCTTTCCTGCGCCTCTGATGCTGCTTGGCCTGCTGTGTTCATCCAGCTCTACACCTTGTTATCTCAGATTCTCCAGCATCTGCAGTTCCTACTATCTCTCCACCCTAGTCCCTACATTTCTCATGGCTAATCCACTTAGCCCGCACATCCCTGGACATTTTGGGCAGTTTAGCATGGTTAATCCACCCTAACCTGTACATCTTTGGACTGTGGGAGGAAACTGGAGCACCCAGCAGAAGCCCACACAAACATGGAGAGAATGTGTAAACTCCACACAGACCGTCACCTGAGAGTAGAATTGAACCCAGGTCCCTAGTGCTGTGAGACAATAGTGCTAACAACTGAGCCACCGTGCTGCCTATTCAAGGATAAGGGACTTTCCCTGTGAGATAGAGATGTGAAATATTCTTCCTGAGAGTTGTTATACTCCCATCCACAGAAGCTGGTGGAGGCTGGGAATATAAATTTATTTTAGATTAGGTTAGAGTGGAATTGACAAAGATCATATTGTACGGTGGGGCAGACTTTTAGGGCTAAATGGCCTACACTTGCCCTTGTGTATGGGAGAAATTGAGCAGAGAAGGTGCAGAGTTTGGTTTCAGCTGAGTGTTGGGTGCCAGGATTGATTGATCGGGTGATGTAGCTGAGACCACCCCCCCCGCCAAAAAGTTGACAGTGGTGGTTTCTTGTCCCAGGTTTATCTGACCCACAGTGGGCGGGAGTACGTGGGCCTGGTCGAGCAGCACAATCACCTGGACAATGAAGTCCTGGTCTACGTGGAGGAGCTGGACCTACGCTCGCTGAGGAAAATTGAAGACATCCGATTGGCTGAGAGCCGGAAGTCACCGCGCCTCCAGGAACAGGAGAGGGAGAATATGAGAGCAACAAGCAAACAGATGGAAAGCAAGAGGGTCCACTGCTCAGAGAGCATCGACATCCCTCCAAGGTGGGCCTGCAGCATGGTGTTGTGGGGGAAGGGGGTGTGGAAAACGGTGGAATCAGGTCATATAGGCTCCTAGGTAGTTCACTTGGATTAGGGAGCGAGGGGGGGCAAGAGAATGCTACAAGCTATTCCCAGAACATCCCAAGGTGGTTAGTGTCAGAGTCATGGAGGTATTTACAACACAAATGATGCCATTCACCTCATTGAGTCCATGCTAGCTCCTTGTGGAGTAAGTCAGTCAGTCCCACTTGGCTGCTCCATCTCTGTATCTGACAAGTTCCTTTCAGTGAGTCTCGTGTCCTTTTGAAGCCAAAGAGTGTTTGCTGCCCAATGACCTTGCAGGTAGAGAGTTCAAGGTCATTACTACTTGCTGGGTATAAACATTCTTTCTCAAATTCCTCCTGCTTCTCTCATCCAAAATCTTAAATCTGCATCTCCCTACAACTGATTACCAGGAAGACCTTTTCCCTTGTCCATTGCACCCAAACCTGTCATAATCCTGCAAACCTTGATCTAATCTCTCCTCAGTCTTCTTTGCTCCAAAGAAGACAATCCTAGCATCTCAAGCCTAATTCTGTCGCTAATCTGGTAAATGTCCAATTTACCTACATCAAGCCAACAATATAAACATCTTTCCATTAACACCAGAGGGGCCTGCAGTCACCTGCTTCTGACAAAAGGCAGATTTAATCACTATTCCTGAAGGACTGTCTGATCATTTTCTTTAAAGCTGAAAGCCTGTCACTGAAGTAACTAACTCACTTGCTTCTATTTTTGACAGAAAATTTCAAAAGTTAAATATAAATAATTTTACATAGACTATAAACCTTTCATTACACTAGCCTCAGTAGTGATGATCATAAATATTGTCCTAAAAACCACCGGTTTCACGAATATCCTCCAAGGAGGATAATCTGCTGCCCTCACCTGGTCTGGCCTACATGTGACTCCACACCACACCAACGGGATTTATAACTTCCCTCCCAAATGGTTGAGTGAGTCACTTGGTTGAAGGGCAGTTAGGGATGGGTAACAATTGCAGGTCCACCTTATTCACAGGAACAAGTTCCAACAATCTCTGTTGGATTGGAAACAGACTGGTCAATGAACTGACCTTGGACCCATCTCAGAAATCTCAAACCCCACACTGCACCTTTCATACCATTACTATCCCAATCAATAACTGTGTCATTAAATTGTTGGAGCTTCATGTCTCTCCTGCCCAGTGAGGGGCTGCTGTTAGGGGGCAGGAATAGCCCCGCTTTCCTGCTGGGATTGTAGAGTGAATCCAGCTACTGGGACACAGCAGGGAGCTGGTTTGAGGTGTAGTTTAAAATAAAATCTCTGTTTATGCCATATGGTCACTTGGTGAATTCTGGTACTGTTCCCCAACTCTTCCGCCGTTACATCAATGACTGCATCGCTGCTCCATCCTGCACCCAGGCTGAACTGAAGCAGTTCATCAACTTCGCCAACAACTTCCAACCCGCCCTCAAATTCACTTGGTCTATCTCAGACACTTCCCTCCCCATTCTTGCCCTCTCTGTTTCCATTTCTGGCGACAGTTTGTGGACTAACATTTACTATAAACTCACAGACTTCCATAGCTACCTGGATTGCACTTCCTCCCACCCTGTATCCTGCAAAAACTCCATCCCGTTTTCCCAATTCCTCTGGCTCCGTCACATCTGCTCTGACGAGGAGACATTCCACTCCCAAGCATGCTGGATGTTCTCCTATTTCAAACAACGTTCATTTCCCCTCTCTGTCATTCAGACAGCCCTCCACTGCACCTCTTCCATTCTCTGCTCCACAGCTCTAAACATCCCCCGCAAACATAATGAAAATAAGGTCTCCCTTCTCCTTATTTTCCACCCTAGCAGCCTCCACATCCAATGTATTATCCTCAAACACTTCCACCAACTCCAATTAGACCCCACCACCCAGAACATCTTCCACTCTCCATCTCTCTCTGACTTCCGCAAGGACCATTCCCTTCACCGTTGCTTAGTTCGCACCATACTCCCCACCAACCACTCCAACCACCCTCCCTCCCCGCTCCCGATACCTTCTCCTGTAACCGTAAACAATGCAACACCTGCCCACACACCACCTCCCTCACCTCCATCAGGGCCATAAACAGTCCTTCCAGGTGAGACAGAGCTTCACCTGCAACTCCTCCAACCTAGTCTACTGCATCTGGTGCTCCCGATGTGGTCTTCTCTACATCGGTGAGACCAAATGTATGGGAGGTGATTGTTTTGCCAAACATCTTCTTTTAGCCTGAAATGGCCAGCTTAACCTTCCAGTCACTGCCCATTTCAACCCACCCTCCACTCCCCATCCGACATCTGCATCCTCGGCCTCCTGCAGCGTCACAGCGATTCAGAATGATTGAAGAACAGCACCTTATCTTCTGCCTGGACAGCCTATAGCTCGGAGGACTCGACACTGAGCTCTCTAATTTCAAATAACCTTCCCACCCATCCCCCTGCTCCCTTTCCAGCCCCACCTCCTCCCTTCTGTTCAACCTACCGACCATTCCTTCCAGCTACCAACTGGATTCATCCCACCCATCGGCCAATCAGGTCGTACCTATGACTGGTGTCCACCTGTCACCGCCATTCTGCTTTACCTGCACCTCCCCCTACCCCCACACCCAGTCCTGAAGAAGGGTAATACCCAAACATTGACTTCTCCTTTCCTGCAGATGCTGCCTGGCTTGCTGTGTTCTTCCAGCCTCCTGTTTGTCTACCCTGGTTAATTCTGGGCCCTATTATAAAACCATATGATTAATGGAGGAGAAGTAGGCCATTCAGCCCACCTAGAAAGAGTTTGCTTTTTTAAAAAAAAAAACATTCATGGGACATGGACGTCGCTGTCTTGGCCAATATTTGTTGCCCTTGAGAAGGGGGTGGTGAACTGCCTTCTTAAACCACTGCAGTCCATGTGCTGTGGGTAAACCCACAATGCCCTTGGGGGGGCGGAATTCCAGGATTTAACTCAGCGAAGGAACTGCGGTGTGTTTCCAAATCTGGATGGTGAGTGGCTTGGAGGGGAACTTGCAGGGGTTATTGCTCCCATGTATCTGCTGCCCTTGTCCTTCCAGATAGAAGTAGACATGGGTTTGGAAGGTGCTGTCTGAGGATATTTGGTGAATTTCTGCAGTGCATCTTGTAGACAGTACACGCTGCTGCTACTGACCATCGGTGGTGGAAGGATTGGATGTTTGTGGATGTGGATGTGGAAAGCTCCTGTTCGATATCAGTGACTAACTCATTCCTGCCATCTCATTCAGGGCATCGGGAGTGGTTGATATGGATGAAATCATGGCAGCCATGGTACTGACCAGCTTATCGTCCAGTCCATTGGTCAACAGTCCCCTGCACAGCAGCACCATGCCAGGTGAGAGCGCCAATGTCTACAGAGCACCAGCAAGATAAGGCTGTGTCCTAATGGGCTCACTGGGGTACTGTGTACCCACCATACCGAGCCAGGGCAGGACACTGCAGCTCTATCTGATGAGTTGGAAAGGTTATCAGCTTGTACCAGCTCTCCTGCACGCAGTGTAAATATCTGGGATGCACTCAAATTTGTGAGCCCAGACACATTGCACTGGGGTCAGTGAGGTCAGCAGTGAGTGAGTGAACTTTCTTGTCTGTTTGGTCCCTGTGTCAGGATTAGCTGATTCGGGGAGTGAGTCCGCAAGTGGGAGCAGTGGCATGTGGAGCTGGGGCAGTGAGACCCCCTCACCCTCCACACCGCCACTCAGCCAGTCGACTGGGATAGCCCAGGGAGAAGACAGCACCGAAAGACATGACCCACAGCCACTGCTGCTTGAGGAACCGACAGCTCGCAAACGGAAGGTGAGTGTTGGGGAATGGAGTTGGTTGGCGTGAAATGGAGACAGGCCTGTGGAGGGAGTGGGGGAGGGAAGTGGGTGGGGGGTAACAGAGGCAGACCTGTGGAGGGAGGGGGGGGGGGAGTGGGAATTGGGGGGGCAGTAGAGACAACAAACCGGTGGGGGGGGTGGGGGGAAAGGGAGACAGCAGTACTGGATCCCTGAACGTTTGACCTTCTGTGACCATTCCCCAAAACCCTGCACAATTTCTATTTTAGTAACCATCCAATGCCTCAATTGGACCATTGTCCATCACATTCCCAGACTGTCCATCCCATACTCTAACTACTCGTCATGTGAAAATGTTTGTTTCTCACATCACGCTTGCTTCTTTTACCAAACATTTTAAAACTGTGCTCTCTGGTTCTTGATCCATTGTTGAGTGGGAACACTTTCTCCCCATTCACTCTGCCCAGATTCCTCACCATTTTGAAAAGGCCATAAAACCATCAGACATTGGAGCAGAATTAGGCCATTCAGCCAATCAGGTCGGCTTTGCCATTCGATCATGGCTGATATGTTTCTCAACCCTATTATCCTCCATTCTCCCCATAACCATTGATCCCCTCACTAATCAGGAACCTATCTGTCTCTGTCTTAAATAAACTCACTGACTTGGCCTCCACAGCCCTCTGCAGCAATGAGTCCCACATATTCCCCATCCTCTGGCTGAAGAAATTCCTCCTCATCTCAGTTCTAAACGGTCATCCCTTCACTCAGAGTGTGCTCTTGGGTCGTCCTACTCGTGGGAACATCTTCTCCATGTCCACTTTATCCAGACCTGTCTGTATTCTATAAGTTTCAACCAGATCCCCCCCTCATCCTTCTAGACTCCATTCAGCACATACCCAGAGTCCTCAATCACTCTTCATATGACATTCTCTTCACCCCCAGGATCATTTGTATAAACCTCCTCTGGACTCCCTCCAAGGCCAGCACATCCTTCCTTATGAGGCCCAAAATAGCTCAGAATATTCCAAATACAGTCTGATCAGTGCCTTGTACAGCCTCAGCAGTACATCCCTGCTCTTGTAACTAGCCCTCGTGAAATGAATGCTAACACTGCGTTTGCCTTGCTAACTGCCAACTGAACCTGCATGTTAACCTTAAGAAAATCCCAAATCCCTTTGTGCTTCAGATTGCCGAAACCTTTCCCTATTTAAAAAATAGTCTATGCCTCTATTCTTCCTCCCAAAATGCATAACCATGCACTTTCCCACATTGTATTCTATCTGCCACTTCTTTGCCCACTCTCCTAGCCTGTCCAAGTCCTCTTGCAGCTTCCCCACTTCCTCAATACGACCTGTCCCTCCACCTTTCATTGTGTCATCTGCAAACTAAGCAACAATTCCCCCAGTTCCTTCATCTAGATTGTTCATGTTAGACTTCTATTCAATCTCCTTTTCTCCAATTTATCCTCATCACTGAAGTATCTTATCTTTGAACCGATTCTCATAGGCCTCTTCTGCGCTTTTCCAATTCCATAGAAACACAGAAGCATCCAAAAAAGCAGTAGGGGTAGGCCATTTGGCCCTTCAAGCTTCCTCTGCAGTTCAGTATGATCATAACTGTTCATCAAACTCAGTCAGCTAAAATCCGACCCTCTAACCCCATACCATTTGATCCCTTTCGCTCTCAGACTATATCTCACTCCTTCTTGAAAATATTCAATTTGGCCTCAACTGCTTCCTGTGGCAGAGAATTCCATAGGCTCCCCACTCTCTGGGTGAAGATATTTCTTCTCATAAAAACCCAAAGAACTGCAGATTCTGGAAATCAGAAACAAAAACAGAAATTGCTGGAAAAGCTCAGTAGGTCTGGCAGCATCTGTGGAGAGAAATTAGAGTTAATGTTTTGGGTCCAGTGACCTTTTCTCAGAATATTTCTCCTCATCCCAGCCCTAAATGGCCTATCCCTTATTATTACGCAATAACCCTTAGTTTTGGACTCCCCCACCAGTCTGGGAAACCTTCGCTGCTGTCGCTCCATCATCAAAAAATTCTTCTTAGCTAAGGAGATCAAAACTGTTCATAATATTCTAGGTGTGGTCTCACCAAGATACAAACATTCCTGTAGCACAGCCCCCAGGTATGTACACAATATTGCAGCTGAGATCTAACCAGTATCTTATATAAGTTCATCATAATCTTCTTGCTCTTGTACTCTCATCCCTGTTTATTAATGTTGTATGTTTTATTAACAGTTCTGTCCACTTGTCCTGCAAACTTTAGTGATCTGTGCACATACACACCCAGGTCCTTCTGCTCCTGGACACCTTTATTTTATATTGTTTCTCCATGTCCTTTTACCAAAATGCATCACCTCACACTCCTTAATGTTGAACCTCATCTGCCCCCCTCCCCCCACCCCACCAACCTGTCAATGTCCTTTTGGAGTTCCACACTCTCCTCCTCACAGTTTATAAATCTTGCACGTTTTGTATCATCTGTAAACTTTGAAACTGTCCCTGCTCATCAATATCCTGGTCAGTAATATATATCAGGAGAAGCAAGGATCCTAAGCTTGATCCCTCAGGGGACTCCACTACAAACATTCCTCCAGCCCGACAAATATCCATTGCCCACTAATCTCTGCTTCCTGTCACTAGGACAGTTTTGTGTTCGTGTTGCTGCTGCCCCTTTCATATCATGAACTATAACCTTCCTCACCAGTCTGTTATGTGGCGCTGCATCAAAAACCTTCCAGAAATTCATGTACAATATTCCTCTCATCAACTTTTTCTGTTACCCCTTCAAAAAAAAACCTCCAGCAAGTTGCTGACTCCATGCTAACTCTATTTTCTCTTTTTATTTATACCCAGAAATGCTATCACACACAACTGCATGACTTTCCCACCAGTAACATCACCAGGACACTTTTTTGTCATTTTTAAACACTAACCAGCACCAATAAAACCAACACCGTAGCCAAATAAATATTTACAAGCAGAGCTTGTTATGGACAATGAATCCATGATGCTCCCAAACTAATCCTATTGATTCTATCCCAAATAAATATTGCTAGATGTTCCCTTCCATCACAGTTAAATTAACTGCTCTGTAATTGCTGGGCTGGTGTTTACAACCTCTTGTGAATAAAGATGTCATGTTTATCATTTACTCTTGGCACCAGCCCCTCCCCTGGGAATACTGAGCTCCGGTTACCACTGCCACAGGGTTTGGGGGGTGTTCAGGAGAGGAATGGACCAACAGGGTGGGGATGCGAGGAGAGAGGGAGCAATGGGGGTTGGGGAGAGGGATGAAATGGGGGTTGGGGAGAGGGGCTGATAGTGGGTGGGGGGACAGACTGATGGGGTCTGCCTCAGTGTGGGTTGAGGGGATGGGGGAATTCTGGGACCGTCTGCAGCTTTAGCATGCTCCCCACTCCAGATCACGAGAGGGAAGTTGTGATGATGGAAATTCTTTGCCTCATGTTCATTGCTCTGTGTCTGTATCCCCTCTTTCTCTCTCCAACCGCCTCCCCCTCCCTCTCCCTCTCTCCCCTCTCCTCTTCCCCTCCCTCTCCCTCTCTCTCTCCTTCACCCTCTCTCTCCCCCAGAACTCCATGAAGCTCCTGTATCGCTGCATGTGGCCTCTCTGCCAGAAACTGCTCTCCTCACCGGCTGGAATCCGCAGGCACATCCGGACTGTGCACCTCGGGTAGGAGCTGGAGTCCAACTGGGGGCTGGGGTAACTGGGGAGACCTCATGAAGGGGTGATCGTGGGGGCAACAGAGACTGTGGGCAATGGGAATGTGTCCCCTTATAATATGAAGCATAGAACCATGGGTTAGATGCTGAGTAAATCTTCTTCCACATCGTTCCCATCAAACACTCCCAGGACGAGGACAGCACAGGGTTAGATACAGAGTGAAGCTCCCTCTACATTGTCCCCCATCAAAAACTCAGGACAGGGAGAGCATTGGGTTAGATACAGAGTGAATCTCCCTCTGCTATTTCTCTGAGAGTTCAGTCTGTGCTGATCAAACCATCAGATCAATTCAATTGTAGTGTGTGTCTGCCCCCATGTGGTGTAGACAGTTATTGCATTGTCTTTAGTTAGCTGAGGATGAGGACAGGCAGTGTCTTTGATGATGGTTCTTGGCTGCGAATTACGTCAAAGTGTTTGATGTCAGCGATAACAGAGATGTGAGAATGTTGGAGTTTTTTTACCTCAGTGCAGAGCAGGTTGGATTAGTGTGAGATTTGACAAATGTTGAAAATAGTGGAAGGATCTTATGGTGTAAACAATCATCAGAAGTAATGACACCAAGTTATAGTCCAACAGGTTTTGTGAAATCATAAGCTTTCAGAGTGCTGCCTCTTCATCAGGTGATGTCGCCCTTTGTAAACAATAATAACTTACAATTTTAAAGGAGGACAGAGAGCTGGGTGGACCTATGCAGAAATTGGTGATGATGTGTCAGAACGTGATAGGAACTCTAATGAAGCTTACAGCATTCTGGGCACTGTTCATAGAGGTGTAGGTTAAAAATCGGGGATGTTACCGTGAGTCCTTAACAAACACTATTTTAGTCTCGGGGGAGGACTGGGTATAGTTCAGTGGGTCACTGTTTAGGAAGAATGTGAATTCCTTGCAGAGGCTGCAGGTGTGATTTAATGACGCAAAGAATGAGGCACTTCCTGATGGAGATGGAGCAGATAAAGGGGGACTGTTTTCCCCGCAGACAAGAAGATTGAGAGGGAGATTTGATTGAGGTGTTCAAACTTCTTAGAGGTCCAGACTGAGGACAAATTGAGGGCAAAGAAACCTTTTGTGTGTACAGAAAGATTGAGGATCAGAGGGTTCCAGTTAAAGGTAACAGGCGAAAGAAACAATGGCGACACAGGGAATAAAATGTTCACATGGTGAACGGTTGACACCTGAAAGGCTGTGACCAAGTGTGTGATAGAATCTTTCATAATCAAAAGAGGATTTGCAGGGAGATGGGGAAAGGGCAGGGAATCGAGAAGAGAGACTAGCCTAGCTGCTCCTGTACAGAGCCAGCATGCACATGATGGATCGAATGGCAGCCTTCTGTTTTGTAACCTTTCCATTGTTTTGAGAATGTGGCAGGAGGACTGTTAACCAGAGTGATGCAGAAGTAAAATAGTCCGTCATGGATTCGGAGGGGAAGGTGAGGAATATTTGGCTGAGCCATGATGTTTAAGGGAGTTGTTGGAATCTGGAGTTGGAGGCCATGGGAAGCACATTGACTCGGAAATTTTAAAAAGGGATTTGGAGGTGGACTAGGATTGATCATTTAGGGTTGAGCGGAGGGGTGGGGAGTCTGATCAGATTACTCTTACAAAGAGCCAACATGGAAAACTGGGCTGAAATTACTGCCTCACTCTGTGATATTGAGCAGGGACAGGGTCTGAAGCACCATGTAGTCAAATAGCCTCATCTTGCAGGTGGAGTTTGAGCTGACTATTTAGGTGATAGGTGGGAGAGGAGAGGGCAATTCCCTCAGTGTCACAAAACCTTCCACCCCCTGCCCTCCCCACCCCACCCCCACCCCCAGTAGACTAACCCCAGGACAGGGGTGGGGGAGATTTGGTATGGCCGAGGATTGAACGTGAAGGAGAGAGTGTTGCTCAGAGTTGGGAGGGTGATGGGGATGGAGGGGGGTGGTGAGGGCAAGGAGGGCGGGGGGGGTGGGGACAGCAAGGGTGGTTGGGGTACGGTGCAGATTGGGAGCTGAGTTTGCTGTAATGGTCCTGATGTTTTGTGGTTGATTCTGATAGGCGTGGTGACGGTGAGCAGAGCGATGGAGAAGAGGATTTCTATTATACTGAGATCTCAGTGAATGAGGAACAGAGCCCAGACACTGTGAACACACGTTGCTGCGTGTCTCCACCTGCTGTATTCCAGGACCAGAAGGTCTCCATCACCCCATCACAGGGAGGCACCTCTGAATACCAGCTCCCGGGCCCCCTCAGTCAGTCTGCTCCCAGCTGCCTGTGGCATGTCTGTGTTGACCACACCTACCAGGTACACACACAACCCCGAGGGTCAGAAGCTGCTTGTAAGACCCACCCACTGCACAACCAGGAAACATTCATGTGAGAGGGACAAATTCCAAACAATTAATACCTTTACCTGAGGACAGGGTCAGTGGGACAGAGCAGAGACTATGGAAGTGAGCAGTGAGTGGTCAGTGAGTCCTGAGGAAGGGCCACCGGACCCGAAATGTTAACTCTGATTTTTTTCTTCACAGATGCTGCCAGACCTGCTGAGCTTTTCCAGCAACTTCTGTTTTTGTTCCTGATTTACAGCATCCGCTGTTCTTTCAGTTTTAATTTAGTAAGTGGTCAGTGATGGTCCAGTGAGAGTGAACAGTGAGAGACAGTGAGCAGTCAGTGACGGTCTCAGTGGGCGGTCAGTGAGAGTGGCCAGTGACATCTCAGTGAGAGTGGTCAGTGATGGTCTCAGTGAGTGGTCAGTGATAGTCTCAGTGAGAGTGGATGGTGAAAGCCTGCTGCCATCAGGTGGTCACTGTTGGTTATTTCTGTTGCAGATCTCTCCCGATTACAGATGTGCCTTCACATTTGGCGATTGCTCTGTCCAGCCACAAGTGACCCTGTTGAAGCCCCACGCTGTTTTTGCCTCTACAATGCCCAGCCTCAGTGGGCCAAGGTGAGTGAAGGGAGGGCACAGCACTGAGACTGAGAATACCTCGTTCCTCACAGAGACAGTCCGCTCACTGCACTAACCGTGTGTTTCTTTCACAGGAAAGTCCGTGGGGAAGCTAAGAAATGCCGTAAAGTGTATGGTGTGGAGAATCGAAGCCAGTGGTGTACAGCCTGCCGATGGAAAAAAGCTTGTCAACGTTTCCATGACTGATTCAACTAGCCGTTACTGTGGGAACAGAGAGGCTCCCAGTATCGCCCCCTTCTTGTGGTCTTTATATCTGTCAGCTCATTGTCCCCAGCATTGGGAAAGGATGGATTTATCTCGGGACAAAGGGCTGACATTGGTGAATGTTGGGCAGTAGACTTGGAGCCTGCAGTTGAGGTTTCATCTCCTCTCAGACTGTGGCCAGAAGGGAGGAAACTCTCTCTATATTTTGGGCCAGTTATTCTCCAGGTTGGAGTCAAGGGATTGACAGGAATGTTCTGATGGACTGCGTCTCTTAGAGCCTGGGACTCAGAGCTACAGGCTTGTCCCAGCATTGACAGGAACCACATTCAAACCACCGACCCTGCCTGGGACAGGGCAGGTCTGGTCCCAGAACCCAGAGATTCCAGAATTTCAGACACAGCTCTCCCTGAAAATGGAATGTTTCTGGATTTGATCACTTTTTTTTTCCAGTTGGGATGGACCATCTGTCACTGGTCATTGTTTTTCCTCCAACAGGAATTCTCAGGGATTGGAGAGAAAGGAGCAGAACAGCCAAACTTCAAGTGATGTCACTAAAGCTTCTTCCAAAGCTCCATGTGTTCGAGTTTTGAATCTCCCTGATGTTTCAGAGACTGAGTGATTAATGACAGCCCTGGATGTTTATAATGATCTGGATCAGTCTTACTGTAACTCCCTGCAGGGGATTGGATTGAAGGGAGTGGGAGGATCATCAACCTGATGGACCAGCTGGCGTTGATGTAGGCACTGGAATGGACAACAGCAGGAAGAGCCCTGTCCACACTGCTGAATCCTCTTTGCTAACACTAGATTTAGATTTATTGTCATATGTTTATAAAAATACAGTGAAAAGTCTTTTTTAACATGTTATACACAATGTGTCACCACTCTGGTGCCGTCTTGAAACACTGAATATCATTCAAGATTTTACTGCAATACAGTTCATCTCTCTCTTTTCTTCATGTTCCTCCTCCACTGCTCCTCCAGTCACTGCTTGACATCGGCTGGAGTCTCAGTCGTGGGCTCTGGGGGCCTGGGTTACAGGCCCCAACCACTGCCACTTCCACAACTGCCATGTCTGAGCTGGAGCCCTGGGCCTGGGTATGTGCGGGTTCAGTTCCTCCTCTTCCCCATCCACTGCTCCTCCAGATGCTGTCGCTGGTTATCGGTCGTTGGGGGTCCTCCTCCTCTGCCGCTGCCCATCCCTTTTTGCTGACGCTGCTGTTCCTTCGGGCCCCCCAGGCCTAGCTGCAGACCTAGACTCTTGGCCCAGCCTGTGAGTCTGGGCTGGGGCAGTCAGCCCGGGAGCTGCTTCTTGCTCACTGGGAGACCTCAAGCTAAGGTGGACCTGTGTCCAGCTTGTCCTGGCGTTTCTGCTGCTGGAGGCCTCCTTCTTTACTTGCCGCCCTCAGTCTTTAACCAGACCGGCTGCAGTGAGAAGTTTCATTCGTAAGCCCCAAACTCCAGCTGGAAGATTCAAGCTGCTTTTAGAGTCTCTCTTATCAGAGCACCTTGTCCCTGAGAGTTAAGAATAATATGGAATCTCCCTTTATCATCTCAGGGCCTCAGTTACTGCCTTGTCATGCTTGTGAGGAGGAAATCATTGTGTGCTCACTGGTCTGATACCTTGATGTTTTGAGTATCATCTTCCTGGTTCTGGTGTTACTGCCCAGTGCTGGGAGCAGTTACACTTCTCCCATTGTCACATGCCACTCAGAGCGATCTCAATGTGCTCTCTAATGAATGTGAAAATGTCTGCACCAGTATAAGACCCTGTCCTGATCAGCCCAGATTAATACGATAAAGCTGGGATTAATATTTACATATCTACAGCTGTGTTTCGTGCCCGCAGCCTCTCGCTGTATGTGTCACTTGACACAGAGTGAATCTGAACAAAATAACACACCCACCCTCTACAGCCCCAACCCCAAGACCCGCACTAACTACCGGATTTAAACAGAGTGATGGATTGAATTAAGGAATCTTTCTTCCCCACTGTCCTTCTCTCTTCAAACAAGCACAGAGAATCCTAGAGAGACTCAACACTGTCTGTGGGGAGAGAGAGAGAAACAGGGTTAACGTTTCGAGTCCAGTGAGCCTTCTTCAGAATTCCATCCTGTTCCTCAGTCACTCCCTGCCCCCTCCACATGGCCCTCTCTGCTCCCCTGAACCCCCAAACCATGCCCCCAGCAGCTGGGCCAACTTGGAATCTGGCAGTTTGCATTTCAAACACGGTGTGAGTGATTGATGGAGAAAGATGGAAGTACATTCAAACTCCCTTCTGAATTTAAATAGCGACATGAACATTACCAGACTGAAATGGTTTTCTATATTTATACAGTAGGAAATTTGAACAGAGTGAATTTAAGACCCTCTGTAAGTTGAAGATAAATTCTAATTGCTAATCCGTGGACTACAAAACCCACAAGTGCCTTTAAAAATCAGTGACTCTAAGAGGAGAGCTCCGATGGGTCCTGGACACGGTCTTTCCTCTGGGATTCAGGGAGAAAGAATCTGATTGGATTGGGGTGTTTGAGTGGATCACACACCACTAACAGGACAAAAAGACATTCTGTCCGTCCCATAAATGAGTCATGTGGTCTATGAGTTTTAGTGCCAGTGTGATGCTAGTATGTGGTGTCTACATCACAATGACTGGTCAAACAGCTGATTGTAACAGGCAGAAAATTGAGTCTACAACCAGCACATGTGTGTGAAACTCAGAACATTGTGAACAAGATTAGATGTGATTCCGTGATTGGACAGCACATTCTGAACAATCTAGGGTGCACTATAAATTAGACAAACAGTCAATTCAAGGCTCTCAGTCAGGGTCCTAATGAGGATCATTTAGTCTTGCTAGAGACTATATGTAATCACATACACACAGCCTGCTCCTCTGCAGTGAAAAGGGATTTGTTCAGACATTACGCCTTTTCAATCTAACAGAAACTTGGGGGATACTGATCCCTTGGTGCATTTCCCATAGCAATGCCTTATCCAAGCAGAGTTAATGTCTTTCATTAATTTTAAACATATTGGTTGGTACATGGTCTTGCAGAATGTACAAGGGAAGAGGTATTTCCCAATCAGGACCCCCTTGCCAATCAATCAGAACGCTTTTCTTTATGTAGCATATATTGTTATTGCTGTTGAGGTTTGGTATTCTTGCAATTGTGTCCTGAAGAATGAAAGATGAGAAATGCTGACAGCATATCTCGTTATGTAGCCGTGCTTGAAGTTTGTAATACCAAGTGACTATTTGTATTTTGATAAAACTTCTTAATTTTAAATAAAAAGTGCAAGTTTAAAATGTGATTTCAGTTTAATAATTTCCATTAATGATAATCAATCCTGTCAGTAGGGCTTTGGCACTGTTTGAAACAAACAGACTGAGGAGGTAAGTGCTATGGGGAAAGCTGGCATTTTATTGCTCAGCTGTAGTTCCTGGTGAGGGTGAGGATCTCAATGGCCCTGGCAGAACCCAAACTGGGCATCACTGAGCAGGTTATTGCAGCTGGACTGCCACTAGATAGCACTGTTGATGAATCCATTTATCACTTTACTGATGATCAAGAGTAGGCTGATGGGACAGTAACTGGCTGAGTTGGATATGTCCTGCTTTTTGTGTACAGGACATACCTGGGCAATTTTACGCATTGTCGGATAGATGTCAATGTTGTAGCTGTACTGGAACATCTTGGCTGGGGGAGTGCAAGTTCAGGAGCACAAGTCTTCAGTACTATTGCTAGAACGTTGTCAGGGTTCATAGCCTTTGCAGTGTTCAGTGTCTCCAACCATTTCATGATATCATGTGGAGTGAATTGAATTGGCTGACGACTGGTATCTGTAATGCTGGGGACAACTGGAGGAGGCCGAGATGGATCGTCCACTTGGCACTTCTGGCTGAAGATTGCTGAGAATGCTTCAGCCTTATCTTTTGCACTGATGTGCTGGGCTCTTCCATCATTGAGGATGGGGATATTTGTGGAGCCTCCTCCTCCAGTGAGTTGTTTAATTGTCCACCACCATTCACAACTGGATGGGGCAGGACTGCAGATCTTAGATCTGATCCATTGGTTGTGGGATCGCTTAGCTCTGTCTATCACTTGCTGCTTTCACTGTTTGGCGTGCAAGTAGTCCTGTTTGGTGGCTTCACCAGGTTGATACCTCATCTTCAGGTATGCCTGGTGCTACTCCTGGCATGCCCTCCTGCACTCTCCATTGAACCAGTTATAACTTGCCCTAATGAGTTTTTTAATCACAGTTAATGTATAAATCCAGCAATTTCATGACAGCATTGGGATGATGATGAGTTGCTGTTGTAAAACCCAGGCTAGTGTAAATTGCTCAGCTTCTTATGTAGGTTTGCACTCCTGCACCATTCCTCTTCATCCCTGAATTAATTGTGGAATTTGCACATTAATATTATTGCACTTGAGGTTGTGGACTTGCTCACCGAGCCGGTGTGTTTGATTGCAGACGTTTTGTCACCCTGCTAGATAACATTGTCAGTGTGCCTCCAGTGAAGCGTCGGTGTTCTGTCCCACTTGTTATTTATATGCCTCAGTTTGCTGGAGTGGTTGGCATCACTTCCGGTTCTGTTTTTTAGTGGTTTGTATATCAGGTCCTATTCAATGTGTTTTTTGATGTAGTTCCATTTCGAATGTGAGGCCTTCAGGAATTCCCTGGTATGCCTCTGTTTGGCTCATGCTATTATGGATGTGTTGTCCCAGCCAAATTCATGTCCTTCTTTGTCCGTGTATATTGAGACCAGTGAGAATTAGTCGTGTTTCTTGGTGGCTGGTTGGTGTTCGTATATCCTTATTATCGTTTTTTTTTCCAGTTTGGTCTACATAATGTTTCTCACAGTCCTTACGTAGTATTTTGTATATTACATTAGTTTTATTGGTTGTGGGTATGGGATCCTTTACATTCGTTAGTAGCTGTGTAGGGTGGTTATTGGTTTGTGGGCCACCCTGATATCTAGGACTCTGAGTAGTCTTGTGGTCATCTCTGATATGTCCCTGATGTATGGTAGGGTGACTATGTTTCTGGCCTTGTTGTGTCATCTTGCTGTGGTATGTCACGGAGGTAATGGCGGATTGTGCTTTTTGGGTATCCATTCCTTTTAAAAACTCTTGTATAAGTGCTTCTGTTCTGCTCTGTGCAATTCCAGGTTGCTGCAGTATTTTGTGGCCCATTTGAACAATGTCCTGATGCAGCTCCATTTATAGGTGTTGGGGTGGTTGCTGGTGTAATTAAGTATCTGGTCCGTATGTGTGGTCTTTCTGTATACACTTGGCTGGAGTTCCCTGTTGTTCTTACATTCTACCGTTATGTCTAGGAAGGGTAGTGAATTATTGTTCTCTTCTTCTACTACAGAGTTTTTTACGGAGAAAACCATCAACAAACACATTGAACTGGACCCGATATACAAACCACTGAAAAACAGATCCAAAGTGATGCCAACCACCCCAGCAAACCGAGACATATAAATAACAAGTGGGACAGAACACCGACGCTTCACCGGAGGCGCACTGACGATGTTACCTAGCAGGGTGATGAAACGTTTGCAATCAAACACACCGGCTCGGCGAGCAAATCTACAACCTCATCCACAACCCTAGCTACAAATCTTCTCAAACTTTAAACACCCACAGGCGCAACAACCTCAATCTGGCCCGCAGATGGGAGACAAATGCCATCTGACTGAGCACGACCTGCAAAGAACTATACTTCCTGCATGAATACCTCAGAAAGCAGGCACTACTGCAAAGCTTAAAATATAAACCACCGATCTGCAATCCACAGGCACGAAGAACAGCTGCACGGAACAGCCGGAGGATGATAAGCGTTATGATCAACGATGCCTACAGCCGTCTCCACGAATACTAGCAGGAAATTGTGCACCAAAAAATTTTATACTCCAATGCAACTGACCAAGAATGGACATCTACACTGGAACAAGCCGTCACCATACAACAACAGAAGACCAGAACAAAGAAAAGAATAGACCTACAAGAAAAACTATCCAGACTCACCCATGACAATGACACGGACAACACAGAAACATGGATCAAGAACATCTCAGACCGACCACTTACAGACACTAAGAAGACCGTCCTAGTACCCGGACTAAATTATAACTACAGACACGCCAAAAAACTGACTTTCCTGGCTGCACTGGAATCGACACTGAAGAGCAACTGACTCACGGAGGAAATTCAACAGATCATCAAACAGCCGATAGTCTCAACACTGAGCAGAAAATGTAAGTGGAGCACATTCAACACAGAAGAGAAGAAAGCCTTGGAAAGACTGAAGAGAGGCAGAAACATCATAATCTTACTGGCCGTCAAAGGATGCATGACAGTAATCCTTATTAGAGCCCAATACATCGAGAAAGCTAACGCACTTCTAGCAGATATCGACACCTACCAATAGATGGCGACAGACCCAAAGGCACAGTTAGAGAATTGGATCAAAATGACCCTGAAGAAATTTCTCAACTCAGGAGATATCAGCAAGACAGACTACCAAAATAATGAAGCCAGAGGGATCCAACAACACCCCGCTTCTATGGACTCCCCAAGATACACAAGCCAGGGTCCCCCTCAGACCCATTGTCTCACCACCAGGTACACCAACATATAGACTAACCAAAGAACTACAACAGAAACTGAAATACTTAGTAGACAACACTACCCACTCCGTCCATTCCTCTCAACGATTCCTCAACATCATCAAGGACATCAGAATAGAAGAGGACAAGATAATGAAATCCTTCGATGTAACAGCACTATTTACATCCATAAACATCGACCTAGCCAAAGAGACAATTGCCACACTGCTCGACGAATCAGGAAGGCAGACACCCCATGACACCAACACCATCAACAAGGACAGCACCTTGAAACTGCTGGGTCTGTGCCTCACAACCCACTTCACCTTCAACGACTGTATATTTAAACAAATCAACAGAACACCAATGGGATCCCCAATATCAGGACTGATTGCAGAAGTGGTAATGCAAAGGTTAGAACAGACAGTACTCCCCACTACACAACCCAAACTCTGGAACTGCTATGTAGATGACACCTTTGTGATTATCAAATGCACAAGACTAGAAGAAACTCACCGACATATAAACAACATGCTCAATGGAATAAAATTCACAAAAAGAAGAAGTGAACAATGATCGACTGCCTTTCTTAGACACGATGGTAGAAAGTAAGTACAACGGGGAACTTCAGGCTAGCATATGCAGAAAGGCAGCATATACCGACCAGATACTTACTTAACTCCTCCAGCAACCACCCATAAATGGAGCTGCATCAGGACATTATTCAGACAGGCTGCAATACACTGCAGCAACCTGGAATTGCACAAAGCAGAACAGGAGCATTTATACGGAGTTTTTAAAAGGAATGGATACCCGAAAAGCACAATCCGCCATTACCTCCGAGACAGACCACAACAAGAAGACACAACACGGCCAGACACACTAGTCACCCTAACTGTACATCAGAGACAGATCAGAGATGATGACAAGACTACTCAGGCCCCTAGATATCAGGGTGGACCACAAACCAACAACCGCCCTGTGACAGCTACTAACGAACGTGAAGAATCCCATACCCACAACCAATACAACTAATGTAATATACAAAATACCATGCAAGGGCTATGAGAAACATTACATAGGTCAAACTGGAAGAAAACTGACAATAAGGATACACAAACACCAACTAGCCACCAAGAGACACGACCAATTCTCACTGGTCTTGATACACACGGACAAAGAAGAACACGAATTCGACTGGGAGAGCACATTCATAATAGCACGAGCCAAACAGATACATGTCAGGGAATTCCTGGAGGCCTGGCATTCCAACTGGAACTCCATCACAAACACATTGAATAGGGCCTGATATACAAACCATTGAAAAACAGAAACAGAAGTGATGCCAGCCACCCCAGCAAACCGATAGGTGGGACAGATCACCAATGCTTCACCGGAGGCGCACTGACAATGTTGCCCAACAGAGTGACGAAACATTTGCAAACAAACACACCAGCTCAGCGAGCAAATCTACAACCTCACCCACAACCTGAGTTACAAATCTTCTCAAAAACATTATTGCACTTCTCAGAGCCAGTCTTTGAAGAAAGAACACAAAACTAGTCTTTACTGTGGGACCACAGAATTGTAACAGTGCAGGGATCTGTTATCAATCCAGCTCTCAGTGACTGAAAGAGGTATTATTACAGAAGGCAGGAACCAACTGAATGTAACACCCGAAATTAAAAAAAAAATCACCAGTGCTCACCACTCACTGTCTTTGAGTCCAATAATCCTAAACCCAATTTGGAATTAGAGATTTTGATCCTGATAAAAGTCTCTCATTTATTGTGGACCAGACCAAATCCCCTTCAACTATAATAAGGAGATAGACCCTAACTTGTATCTTATTTAAAGGGGAGAGTGAGATGTTGTGTTCCATGTGATTTGATTGGTAAGACAACACAGCTTTAAGCAAAAGACACTTTATTCTTAACCTTCATACAGTCATACAGCAGGGAAACAGACCCTGAAATAATCTCAAACCAAAACTTTTCAAAATAATAGATTATTTAACTACTAAACAGTAACTGATCCAATATAGTAATATCACATAAACACACTCTTGGCAAAAGCAAAGTCAGTAAAATACATTGTTTCACGTGTAATTTTAGCAGCAGGAAGAGAACCCAAGCTTTTAGCTGTAACAGAGAGACAGATGTTAGAGTTTCCACAGCCAATTTCAAAACCCCACCAACTGCTGAAAGCTAACCTAAAACCCTGGTTCTGTGGGAGCTATTGTTCAAACTTTAAAAAAAATCCAAAGCTTCACAGGCTGTTATAACAAGAGGAGGAACACAGCAGGCCAGGCAGCATCAAAGGAGCAGGAAAGCTGACGTTTCAGGTCTGGACCCTTCTTCAGAAATGGGGGAGGGGAAGGGGACTCTGAAAGAAATAGAGTGAGGGGGAAGCGATGATGGAAGGTGGATAGAGGAGCAGATAGGTGGAGAGAAGACGGACATTACCAGGGAATTGCAGTGGGGGAGAGATCCACAGGTTGTTTATTGGCTTGGGAGAGACAGCTCACCTACGGCTCAAAGCCTCTGTTCAAAAAAAAACACAGAATGAAATGCATTCTTAAAGCCACAGTATAATCACAGAGTTGTCCCACCGAGATTTGACTCAATGCACCAGGGCATTACTCTGGGACGTTACTGATCAGTAACATTGTTAACATGCCACTCTCTCCACCCATGTCTCTGCATAATTATTCTCTAATTAACCTGTTCAGAAATGTTGTTACATACTTCCAGAGCAGTTGGGACTTGAACTCAGGCCTCTCACGACAGAGGCCCTGATACTACCAATTCTCCACAAGAGCCCAATATGTCAGGTTTCATATTTTATCCATTCTCCGCCACTTCCGCCACCTACAATCCAACCCCATAACCAAAGAGATATTTCCCTCCTCACTCCTATCTGCCTTTTGTAGGGACCGCTCTGTTCGCGACTCCCTCGTCTGCTCCATTCTCCCCACTAGCCCCACCATGCCCAGCACCTTTCCCTGCAACCACAGGAAGTGCTGCACTTGCCCCCACACCTCCCTGCTCACCTCCATCCAAGGCCCCAGACAATCTTTCCGTATCCAACAGGGGTTCACCTGTACATCCTCCAGCCTGGTCTACTGTATCCATTCCTCCCGATGTGGCCTCCTCTACATCAGTAGTGCAGACTCGGGACCATTTCATTGAGCATCTGCGCTCTGTACACAACAAACGACAACACCTTCCAGTCGCCAACCATTTTAACTCCCCCTTCCTCTCCTTGGGGGACATGTCCATCCTGGGGCTCCTCCAGTGTCACAATGATGCCACCTGGGAACTGGAGGAGCAGCACCTCATATTCTGCCTCAGGAACCCACAGCCCGATGGCCTTAATATAGAATTCACCAGTTTCAAAATCTCCCCACCCCCAGCCTCATCCCATGTCCAAACCTCCCTCTCATCCCCACCTCCTTGACCTGACGCAACCTGTCCATCTTCTCTCCCACCTATCCACCTCAACGATCCCACAGACCAATCCCTACCACTCCCTACCTGCACTCACCTTTCATCATCCCACCTAACTTCCCCAGCCCCACCCCTCCTCTCTTTATTTATTTCCCAGCTCCCTTCCCCCTCCCCCATTTCTGAAGAAGGGTCCCGACCTGAAGCATCAACTTTCCTGCTCCTCTGATGCTGCCTGGCCTGCTGTGTTCCTCCAGCTCCACACTGTGTTGTCACAGCCTCAATCATACCACAGGACATTTTGTGTTTCTTCTCCTCGGGTTGTTGGGCACAGATAAACTAGGGAAGGGAAGCAGGCAGTTGGGGTCAATAGCCTGACCAGTACCTGCTTGCTGGTCCTGTTAGTGCCCACTGTGGGCAGATCGAGGAGGATAATCATGAGGAGATCCTCAGATCTTCCCAACCTCCTCCTCACTGAGTGCCCAAAGATTGGGAGCCTGGTGCAATTTCAAAGCAACCCCTTAAATAAATGAATAAGGGTCTGCGGTGTCCCTTGTACACTGGGAGCACGTATCCCTCAAGGCGTTGGCAACCACTAGCCAGCTGGGAGTCTGTGAATCACCATCATCGTCTATTGTGGGGGTGGGGGTGGCTGCAGTGTGAAACAACCTCATTCCAGAGCTTCGATGGAGAATTTCCACTTCGGAGACTCCTAACAGGGGCTGCCCATCTCCGGGAATGTTGCGGCTTGTTTGGATGGTCAATGACCATGACAATTTGGAGACATCCGCACAGCTGAGCCCCTCCATGCACTGTGAAGTGGCTCAGTGGCCAACTGGGAAACATGAGTTCACAAGGGAGAATTCAGGGCCAGGGGTCTTTTTATTGGGGCTCCCAGAATTTCTTTCATTTACTCATGGGGCGTGGGCGTCACTGGCTGGGCCCAGCATTTATTGCTTGTCCCTAACTACCCTTGAGAAGGTGATGCTGAGCTTCCTCCTTGAACTGCTACAGTTGATACTTTCTATCCATATGTACTTAATGTCAATTTACACATCTAACCAATAATGACGTGATGTTTACAAACTGTTTTATGCCAACAAGTTTGCAATAATAATTTGTCTAACACCTTTCTTGTAAATCGCCAAAGAAATCCAACAACAGTAATTCAATATTGAGCTGTGAAATAATTAGTAAATGGGCTTTATTGAACATCCTACAATTATTTATTAACCTTAGAATCAAAGCAGTTCTTAAACATAAGCGTAGAATATGCAAATTATTGGTATTAATTGATGGCTGAATAAGAAAGGTTACGAAGGCAGTTTAGTTATGCCCTAGTAGTTCAGAATTAACATCTTGCTGACTGTAATTTTATGTTTCTGTTAATTCAGGGAATGGCTGGATTTAATTTCCAGTGCACTGCCCACTGAGGAGTAACATAATGACCTCTTCACTGTTTGCTACCTTTCCAAGTTTTGTGCCATCCACAGATTTGGAACTGACCTTTATAGCCAAGTTTAACAGATATCTAAAAGGGCAGTGATCCGATTAGCTGCACAATTGATGGTATTAAATATGTTGGGATTTAGGTACTTGTCATTTTTGGGACTGTTGGAATATCAAGTTTATGCACTTGTCAGGGCTGGACTGGGGCTTTCAAACTGTGGGACATGACCCCAGTCCAAGAGGTTTGTGATGACAAGTGATCATGGACAGGATCTTCTCCGAAGTCTAACCGCCGATGGTAGGCGCACTCGAATTGCTTCCTTCCCCCTTGCCTCAGAGTCCAATGTCAGGTAGCTCCAATGAGAAAGCTGCTTGGAGGAACTGTTGGTAGGTTGTGATGAGAAGGTAGTGCCAGAAAGTAGCCTCTGTCTATATAAAACTCCCAAACTATCTATGGAGAGGGAGGACCTGATGTTCATTAGCATCTTCCAGGTATTTAGAAAGAGGTAATCACAGTGGCTGCTGGAGTGCATTATCTCCCACTCCAACACCATTTTAAATTCACACCTCTCACCTTCCCTACCTTTTTGTTCCCTTTTTTATTGTTTGCATTGCCTCCAGTGGGTGGTGTTACTCACTCACGATGTTTAATTGGGTGATATTTTTTATTCTCTCGTTGGACATGGAAGTCACTGGCTGGTCCAGCATTTGTTGCCTGTCCCTAGTTGCCCCTTGAGAAGGTGGTAGTGAGCGCCGTCATCAACCACTACAGTCTGTGTGAAGTAGGTTGATCCACAATGCCCTTAGGGAGGGAATTCACTGAAGGAACGGTGATGTATTTCCAAATCTGGATGGTGAGTGGCTTTGAGGGGAAATTGCAGGGGATGGTTTTCCCATGTATCTGCCACCCTTGTCCTTCTAGCTGGAAGTGGTTGTGGGTCTGCTACCTGAGAACCTTTGCATTGCTGTTCTCAGCACACAGTGACTGAGAGCCAGGATATCAATCAGGATCAAACGATCACAACTGGTTCAGTCTGACGACTTATTCCCTCCCTTTAATGTGGGACTCAGACTGCTGGGAGGGTCCGTTTAAATCCTGGAGTGAGTTTAGATCAATCAGACTGCTGTTCATTTATTGATTTTTTTTTTATTTTGAAGGTGCAAATGCCCCTATCCTTCTCCAGTCTCCGATCCTGGAACGAGTCGCTGAGGGTCACACTGCCCGGTTACAGTGCACCGTGAGGAACGCCGCAGTGACACACACCGATGTTCACTGATACCGGGAGCGACCAGGAAGAAGGAGAGAGTGGATTTTGACACATAACACAACGGATTTCATACGATCACACTCAGGATTCACTGAGCGATTCCAGCCATCCCGAGACCCCTCCAAAAACAGCTTCATTCTGACCATCACAAACGTGCAGCCCAGTGACACTGCGGTCTATTACTGTGAGTTTTCGGGAGGTGTCCCTGGTGGAGGAAGCCAGCTCATTGTAGACAGTAAGTAGAGTTTATATGACAATCTCCTCCAGCAATAACCTCTTGCCCAACGGATGAATTAGAGATAAGTTTGTCATTAATAAGACTGAGGAGGTGATGGAGAGTGATCTCAGGGATGGATTCACTTGTGGGGTGGAAGCTGAGCTCAGGTTCAATGTTGGTGGGGCGTCGGGGGTATGGTTAAGGGGATTTTTTGTGACATTGGAGGAGGATTTTGTGGGAAGTACACAGCGTTATCGTGGAAACTGAGGGATATTAGTTCCATTCGACTCACAAGAGTGTCAGTGCCATTGGGCTGGATGTGCAGAGTCAGGGAGATTGCTCTGTGAGGTGCCACATCTGAAGGGAATCTCCCAGGGATTGGGAATGAACCACAGAGCACAAAGGGGCACACACATCTCTGTCCATTCAAGAGACAATTTTTTTTTGATCCAGGTTAAAGGGAACCACTGGGAACTACTCCACTTCGAGCACAGGGCAAGGGGAAAAACTTGGTCTCCATGAGCTCCCACAGCTGAAACTGGGATTGAAGCTGAGATAGAGTCATTATTCTACATTTTCCCTCCAGCCATCTGTGTCATGTGACTAGGAAAGAGTGATCGTAGTATTCTGGGAGTTTCCGACATAATTCGCTGGAGCTTCGTTTTGACCATTGCTGAGAGCCTGGCTTCAGTCTCCATCCTGGCTCAGGTAGTTCCTGGGGCTTTCTCTTCTACTTGCCCCATTGTGTGGGAGGGGGCAACCAATAGCAGATCAGATGTAATGCAGAGAGATGTGAAGGTACTCAGGTTGGATGGGGAAATAAGAGCAGTGGAAACAATTTTATTTAAAAGTGCGATTCTAACGGGTGTGCAGGAGCAGACAGCTGGGAGTCTACTCTTTAGCTGAAAATAGTCATCACATTTCGAAGGAAACATGAGAACCACCCTTTAGAGTCTGTAGAAAAAAAAAACATTGAATTGAAACCCATATTAGGATAACAAAAAAATGTATAGACCATGAGATCCTGGTTTATTGAACTGTTTGGACATTTCTTGGTTGAAGAGGGTTTATCGCATGATCACTTGAATCTGAAAGATCAAAATGCATTGTGTTTTACAAAATTCAAATTAACTTTGAATCAATGAAGGATGTTAAGAAAAGATAAGAACTGGGTTTTATTGCTAAGTTGCTGGACTGACTGATTTTCAATATGGCCTAGCAACAGTTTCTTGGCTCAAGTTGCTGTGTGCTTTCACAGAGCGAAAGGAGAACAGCTGAAGCAAAATTGTCCAGCTGACCAAAAGCAGTGAAAAAAGTTCTGTCTCTTCTGATAAAAGGGGAAGGAAACTTCTATCAGGACCAGCTGCATGAGTCGTCCCTCTCAGTCAGTAAAATACATGGGAAATGCTGATAAGATCTCTTCATGAAGGATTTGTAAAGATAAAGCTTCCAACATCAGGTTTTCAAATTATTTCCCATCGGAATCTGAAAGATGGTGAGAAGATCTCTCATCATTGTATATCTTTCAGGAATCAGCCTCATTGACAAAAAGTTGAAGGAACTCTGAGAGGTCAACACATTCTGCCTTCTGTTGTGATTTCCTTGCCCCACTGGGATGGTCTTTCTTTGAGACCTTTTCTTTAACAAACAGCCCAAACTCTTTCTGCAGAGCCATGTTGCCTTGTCTGTGAATGAGTGTAAGTTTGAGGTTAATGAATATGGTTTAATCCCAAATAGAAATGTAATTCCTGATCATTATTTCTGCTTTTTCAATAATATGTCTTACTGATAATAAATAAGTTGTTTTTGACGTCATGAACCAACCTACCAAGTACTTTGGATCGGAGGACAGAAGAGAGGCAAATTGGCTGTATTGTTGATTCAGTGACACGTTTAATGTGGCTCCTGGTTAAATGGGGTTTGATTACTCATGGACTCCTCCCATTAGAGTCTAAACACTGTGATGTGAATGTGTAGTTTCTATATGATTTTAATATCATTTAGTTTGGAATTTAGATTCTGAATTCATGGTACATATGTTTTGATTTCTGTCTATGATGGGATTTGAAGATTTACATGTCAAAATTTCTGAAGTTGTGATTTATTTCTAAAGTATCAATCTGACAGAAACAGTTGTTGGAGTGCGAATGGGACTTTGTCTGCATTGGGAGAGATTTTATGAGCAAACTAAATAGGCATTGAAATCATCAGAATGATTTCAGGTCTGTGGAATTGGATTGTTTTCTGTTTGGGTGAAAGACATATTGTTTGGAAAGCCTTATTGTTTCAATTCAGAGTCCTGGTGGATGTTAGGTGTATAAAACAGTTCCTTTAAATGAAAGATGACAGTTTAAGACTGTTAAGAAATAAGTGATCTCAGAATGGGCAGTTTAATTTGAAAATTTACACCATGAAAATACCACCTTTATCCCAACTCTCTGTCATTGCTTAGTCAGCCAATCCTCTATCCATAAGACCTCCAACACCGAGGACTCTCATCTTATGAAGTAGCCTAATGTGTGGTGCCTTATGAGAAGTGTTTTTTATGATTATATTAGTGGTCATTCCTGCAAGTGAACTGCCTTCCTGATCTGCTGCAGTCCATGTGCTGTAGGTTAACCCACAATCCCCACAGGGAGGGAATTCCAGGATTTTGACTCAGCGACACTGAATAAACCATTATATATTCCCAAGTCAGGATGTTAAGCTTGGAGGGGAACTTGCAGTGGGGGTATGTTGGGTTCCTATGATATAAGTAATGACTCTGCGATCTTTTCAAATATCTGGCTTTATTTCTCCTCACATATGGGCTACATAGTTGCAAGTTGAGACCTCTGCAGCAATAGCTTTAATCGTGTTTCTTATACATTTTTCACTTGATCCTCCCCAAAACCACAAATAGTGGTCAGTATCTTCTGTCAATCTATTCCGTGATATCTTCCCATGAAGTACTCCGGTAGGTTCATGAAACTAGTCCCCACACTCTAACCACAAGAACTAGCTAACAGTCTGTCAGGCACATATTTCCAAATCTGCTGCGAACTGATCTCCATAGTCTCGACCTCACCTGCAAGTCAGCTTTTTGCAATAGCATTTGTAAATTTAACCCTTGTTATTGCTGTAGCTTCATCACATAATTTCGAATATACTTCACTGTTGTGTTCCCATAACGTGTCTACTGCTCTTGTCCATTTCGGTGGAGGTGAATGTGAATTTTGGTAGTTCTGCAGAAGAAACTGGTGGGTCCAAAATTTTGATGAGATTCTGAAGAGAATTAAGAACTATTATCTTACACATTGTTTATTTAAATATTTATCTTTATATTGATGGATTTTGTATGATCTGAATCAGTCCCATAAGCAGCTCAATGGTTTAGTGCAACCACCTGTTTTCTCTGTTTAACTCAAAACTCCTATCACCCTGTCAGATCCTTTCAATATGGCAGTACAGAGAATCTGTTCTTGTGGAGATAAATTTCTTGTTATCTTTTGCCATAAAGGTATCTCTGGTCCAGTCCTTCTCCAGTCTCCGAGCCTGGAACATGATGCTGAGGGTCACACTGCCCAGTTACAGTGCACCATGAGGAATGCTGCAGTGACACGCACCAATGTTCACTGGTACTGGGAGCAACCAGGGAATATTATGAAACACGTTATAACACATGACATGAAGAACAACATACAACGGACTCCAGGATTCACTGATTGATTCCAGCCTTCCAGAGACTCCTCCAGTTACAGCTTCATTCTGACCATCACAAATGTGCAGCCCAGGGACACTGGGGTCTATTATTGCTCAGTCTGGGGAAGGATTAATCGGAGAGGAAGCCTGCTCAATATCACCAGTAAGTAGGGTTTATATGACAATCACTTAGAGCAAATACCCCTTGCCCAATGAATGAATTGGAGATCTGTTTGTGGGTGTCACTGGCTGGGCCTGCATTTATTGCCCATCCTCAATTGCCCTTGAGAAGGTGGTGCTGAGCTGCCTTTTTGAACCACTGCAGTGACCCATTGGTTACCATTCCTGATTTTAGTTTGGGCTCCTACACAATCTATTCAGACCCTGCTAAACGGCTCTTCAAAAGCTATGATCTGAATTAATGGTGAAGCTTTAATTGAATGTTAGTCCTGCAATGGAGCAGTTTGTCTGATAAAACTTAACATCTTTATATAATTCTGAACAATATAAGTGTTTTAATAAATTTAGGCTGTGTGTTCCTCGTCCATAAATGATCTGCCGTTGGAATTTCATGAGCTAATTTGTAAAATTTCATTCTGATCCTCAGATGGAGTGACCAACCGATGGACCACTGTCCATTCCTCATGGCCCGGTACTTCGGGCAGACTCTATTTCCACATTAACACTATGTCGTTCAAGCAATAACACTCAGGGATTGTTTCCAATTGCATTTCTGAGGAGGCGTTTTAGTAAAGCTTTCTCGATTCAGCATCCATTCATTGCATTTCTGTTTAAGAAGATTTTCTGAACATATCAGCCACATTGTCTTTACCTTCATTCTTTTCTGTTACATTTTTGAAAATTGATTCTGATCGCAGAAATTCCAATCCAAATCAACGTCTCATAGATTCCTTGTTCTACGACTCTAACTCCGTGAACCTGTGATCTAGTCACAACACAGTCAGAAATCAATTTAGTATATTCCTCCCATTTTTTAATCTCCGTTAATATCTCCAATGAATATTTTCCCCTCCATTAACCCTGCAGAAAATCAAACAGGACCATTGGGCAGCATCAGTGATTGACTTGATTGATTGTCTCATAAATCTTTATTGGTTTACCTGCTTGATTTGAAGCTGAAGGAAATGGCTTTCCTTTTGAGACTGAAGTCTCCGAACCTCGAGTGTTCTGAATTGATTAAAACAGTTTTTTCACTGATTGTCCAGCTCTTTATTTCTACAAATTGACTCTAAGACAGGATGAGCTGGTGTTGGAGGGGTTATCCATAATGGTCCCGGGGATGAAGGGCTTGTCATTTGAGGAGCAGTTGAGGCCTTTGGCTCTGTACTTGATGGAGATTAGAAGGATGAGGTGGAATCTGATTGAAACAGACTGAATACTGAGAGGATGACTTCTTCAGGCTAGGCATCCTTAGAAGAGGCTTCGCAGTGGGGTTAAAATTGTATTAGAGATAGTAGGAACTGCAGATGCTGGAGAATCTGAAACAACAAGGTGTAGAGCTGGATGAACACAGCAGGCCAAGCAGCATCATAGGAGCAGGAAGGCTGACATTTTGGGCCTAGAAGGGTCTTGTTGTCTCAGATTCTCCAGCATCTGCAGTTCCTATTATCTCTGAATACTGAGAGACCCTGATAGAGTGGACATGGAGAAGATGTTTCCTCTAATAGGAGAGACTAGGACCTGAGGGCACAGCCTCGGAGTGAATGCATGACCCTTTAGTCCTGAGATGAGGAGGAATTTGTTCAGCTTCAGGGAGATGAATCTGTGGAACACGTTGCTGCAGAGAGCTGTGGAGGCCAAGTCATTGAGTGTATTTAAGACAGAGATAGATGAGTTCCCGATGAGTAAAGATTACAGGCTAAAGGCAGGAGAATGGGCTTGAGAAACGTGTCAGCCATGGTCAAATGGCAGAGCAGGCTCAATGGGCAGAATGGCCAAATTCTGCTCCTATATCCTGTGGCCTTATGGTCTAAAATGTCTTGTTTAATTTGAAGATTAAACCTACTCTTACAATCTGTCCTTTCTTTTCAACTCTAAATTGGAGCCCTTCAAAAACTTCAGACTGTTGTAGATTTATTCATAAAAAAACAAAAGGACTGAAGATACTGGAAACAAAAACAGAAAATGCTGGAAAAGCTCAGCAGATCTGGCAGCATCTGCAGAGAGAAATTAGAGTTAATGTTTCTGGTCCAGTGACTTTCCTCAGAATTGATTAATTCAGTATCTTTATCTGCCAGGTGCAAATGCCCCAGTCCTTCTCCAGTCTCCGATCCTGGAACGTGTCACTGAGGGTCACACTGCCCAGTTACAGTGCACCTTGAGGAATGCTGCAGTGACACACACCAACGTTCACTGGCACCGGGAGCAACCGGGGAACAACATGGATTGGGTTTTAACACATGATGTGAGGAACTTCCCACAATGGAGCCCAGAATTCACTGAGCGATTCCAGTCTTCCAGAGACTCCTCCAATAACAAGTTCATTCTGACCATCACAAACGTGTAGCCCAATGACACTGGGGTCTATTACTATAAAGTGTGGGGAGGTATCAGTGGGAATGGAACCCCGCTGACTGTAATAGGTAAGTCCTGTTTACCTTTAATAAATCTGACACAGCAAACTCATCCATAAGGATTTATTGGAGAGCAGAATGCATTAAATTCCTCTGGTAAAGAGAAAGCAGAGAGCTTGATGTTAACATAAAACAGTTACCTTCTCTTGTTTTACTCACAGGTAGAATAAACTGTTTCTCCTCTTGGACTAGTTCCTAAATCACAAACTCTTTCCCTTCTCCCTGCCTTTCTGCTTCTTCATCTTGTTTTCTCTCAGTGTTGTGTTTAACATTCTCCTGTCTCTATCTGGTTCTGTTTCATTCATTCTTGTGACATGTCCATCGCAGGCCGGGCCAGCACTTGTTGTTCATCTCAAATGGCCCTTGAGAAGAATTGTCTTCACCCGGAGAGTGGGGAGCCTGTGGAATACTCTGCCACAGGAAACAGCTGAGGCCAAACCATTGTATGATTTCAAGAATGAGTTGAATTTAGTTCTGATTGGGGAAAAAGGATCAAAGGTTTTGGTGAGAGATGGGGAATTGGGGACTGAGTTGGATGGTCAGTGGCATGGTGACTCAGTGGATAGCACTGCTGCCTCATAGAACCAGGGACCTAGGTTCAATTTCACCCTTGGGTGACTGTCTGTGTGGAGTTTGCACATTCTCCCTGTACCTGAATGGGTTTCATTCCACAGGTTTAGTGGATTGACCATGCAAAATTGCCCATAGTGTCCATGGATGTGTAGGTTTGGTGGATGAGCCATGTGAACTGCGGGGAGATAGTAGGTGGAGAGGGGGAGGGTGATGGTGGTGAGATGCTCTTCAGGTGTGGACTTGTTGAGCTGAATAGCCTGGTTCCACAGTGTAGGGATTGTATGAACATGTTGAATGGTGGTGCAGGCACAATGGCTGAATGGCCTACTCCTGCTCCTATTTTCTGTGTTTTGAGAAGGTGATGGTGAGGTGCTTTCCTGACCTGCTGTGGTCCAGTTGGTGTTGGGACATTTGACCCAGTGACACTGAAGGAACGATCATGACATATTTCCAAGTCCGGATGGTGAGAGCCTTGGAGGGGAACCTGATGGAGGTGGTGTCACGTGCATCTACTCCCCTTGTATGTTCTGTTGGAAGAGTCTCTGGGTTCAGAAGCTACTTTTGGAGGAGCCTTAGTAGGATATCTTGTAGATGGTACAAACTCTATCATTTTTGAATGTTGAATGTGTTAGTTGTGACACTGCTTTGTCCTGGATGGCATGGTGCTTTTTGAATGCTGTTGGAACTGTACCCATCCAGGCAAGAGTAGAAGGAGGCAATTCAACCCATCTTGTCTGCACTGACTCTTAAAATGAGCACCATTCCTGACTGTCAATGTCCTGCATTGGATACAGAATCAGATGTAGCAACAGTGAATCAGAGAGGGCGTGGTCAGGGTGCATCAAATGCAGGCTGTTTGAAACTTTCAACCTTTGCCTTTTGGTTTTTGGTGAGAATGAAACTTTTCAAATGGCTGCTCGATCTCTTCAATCAGTCAGCTTTGAACATTGTGAAATTCTTTTCTCGATAGTTTATTCTGTTACAGGATCCTGCACAAAATGAATCAAAGCAACAAATTGGAAAGCTTTCTGCTGATGGATATGTTTCAAATCATTCCCTCTCAAATCACAAACAGCAATATCCACACAAGAAGCTTCAGTTCATCATCTGCAAATCATCATTTAACAAGGAGGAGATTTTACAAAATGTTACAATTCACGTTACAAGATTTTTCCTCTTCGATATGAACAGATCCATTGGCTGATCCAGTCCTTATTCAGCATCCAGTGGTCAGCCAGGTACCAGAGGGTGAAACTGTCGAGTTCCAGTGTGCCATGTACAATGCCAGTGTGAATGACAGTGATGTCCACTGGCACTACCAGCGACCTGGCAGCAACACGGAGTGGGTGATAAGCCAGTTTGTGAATGGCACCCTCAGCAAGGCCCAGGTTTCCACGATCGTGTTCATGTTTCCAGGAATGTCAGCAGGAACAGTTACATTCTGAGCCTTGTGAATGTGACTCTCAATGATAGTGCTGTGTACTGCAGCAGTGTGTGGAGCTACATCTATGGAGCAGGGAGCCAGCTCAATGTAACTGGTAAGGCAATGGGAGGGAATGCTGGTGTGAACAGAGAAGGGAGAACACGGTGGAAGGGCAGAATGGTCATGAGGCCAGGCATTCCCAAGGATGATGGGGAATGGCTTGGAGGGGAAGTTGTTCACATGTATCTGCTGCCCTGATCCTTCTAGATGGAGGAGGATGTGGGTTTGTGATGTGCTGTCTGAGGAACTTTGCTGAATTTCAGCAGTGTATCTTGTAGTTAATACACAGTAGGGTGTCAGTGGTGTAGGGATTGGATGCTTGTGGCTATGGTGCCAGTCATTAGGGCTACATTTTCCTGGATGGTACCAAACTTCCTGAGTGTTGCTGGAGCAGCACCATCCAGGCAAGTGGGGAGTATTCCATCACACTCCGGACTTGTGCCTTGTAGATAGTGGGCAGGCTTTGGGGAGTGAGGACGGATGTTACTGTCCTGAAGATCTCAAAATTACTGTTGCAGACAATTTTGGACATTGCTCTGACTGCATGCCTAACATTCTGATATTTTACAGAAGAATATTCCCATGGCTTCCCTGGCTTCATATCCCATTTTAGTCAAAGGCATCATTCTGTTTTTTGCTGTTGTGATCTGCCATTATCCCGCTCATACTTTTTCTTTGGAAACAAAAACTGTGCTCATCACTAAAGGACTCCACACAAGGGTAAATCCCATTTCATCTTGGATTCGATTCTGACACTGCAGTTATTCATTTTTGACATTGGGGTGATTGTTTTTATTGAGTGCTGATATTCCCACTGAAGTGTAAAGACCCATTGTAAATGGGGGATCAGTGACTGTCGAGACCATCCCACACGTCCAGATGCCCAATCTCTGCCAATTACTCCATCTCTGGTATCATACGCCCTCCAGTGCCAGGCCACAGGCACCTGCTCGTGACAGTCAGAAAACTTTGAATAGGTCAAGCATTAGACATCACCTGCAGGATCCCCAGTAGGTACCGGATCATTACCCACCGAGCCCAGTGTCAGGGTCTGCCTTAGTGCTGGTGGCTCACTGGCAGCACAGCGCCTCCTGCTGGGAAGACCATGCAAGTGCCAGACCACTCGGACCAACAGCCTGTGCTGGTCTTTGACTTCCATTTCAGCAGAAATCACAAATCACATTTCCCTGCCCTGTTCCCACATCCATTCAATCCTCTTTGTTTCTCACACCACTCTCCAACCGAATGCAGAATGTTGAAATTAATTCTACACCTGCCATTAATCTGAAGTGACTACTCGTGCCTTCCCACCCTGTGGGTGAAGTGATTTCCCAAGCATCTGGACTGAATCTTTTCTGTTGTACTTTATATCTATGACCCCTCATTCTTCATCCCTTCAATAGTCTGTTTTCGTCTCATTCATTGCACCTTTGAAGTGTTTTATATACTTTGATCGTAGCCCTGCAGTCTATGTTCTTGCAATGAAATAAAGGTATTCTGAAGTTTTTTCTTGCGTTTGTATATGCTCATCCTGGGCAGCATCCCAGTGAGTTAGTGCAGTTCTCTCCCTCAGTATTTTCTCGATCAGAACCAACTGAAAGTGCAGCAAGCTTTTTTTTTAAAATAAATTTCTCCCTTGCACCGTTGGAAACAACAACAACTTGGACAAATTTCCTAGCATACACTCTGGTTTTGGTTAAATTCTTTCCTTTGTTGTTCACACAAATTCTGCTCTTTTTAGCAAATGATATAAGTTTCTAGATCATCCTTTTGTCTTTAAGCTGATCTCAAAAGTCCATCGTGAAAAGTCTAAGGTCCATCAGCACTGAGAGAGTGAAGTTTACAGTCCTCTTCCAGCCCACACCCACAGCTCTTTCACTGATACATTGGTGAGATCATCGGTGCTGCTTCACTCTCTCGTCTGGAATTGGAAAAGCTCATTGATTTAGAATCCAATGTCCATCCTGCCCTCACTTGCACCTGGTCTATCTCTGACTTCTCCCTTCCCTCCCTCGACATCTCTGTTTCCATTTCTGGGGATAGACTGGCCACCAATGTCCACTATAAATCCACTGACTCCCACAGCTACCTGGACGATACATCGTCACACCCTGCTTCCTGTAAAGATTCCATCCCATTCTCTCAGTTCCTCTGTCTCCATTGTACGTGTTCAGATGAGGCCAACCTCGACAAGGGAGCCACCGAAATGTCCACCTTCTGCCTCAACCAAGGATTCCCCAGCTCTGTGGTCGACAGGGCCCTCAACCAGGTCCAACCGATCTCCCGCACTTCTGCCCTCACCCCCTCTCTTCCCTCCCGCAACAGCGATTGGGTTCCCCTTGTCCTTACCTACCATCCCACCAGCATCCACATCCAGAAGACCATCAGGCGCCATTTCTGCCACCTCCAGCGAGATGTCACCACCAGACACATATTCCCCTCCCCTCCCTAGTCCGCATTCCGCAGGGACCGTTTTCTCCAGGACACCCTGGTCCACACTTCCTTCACCCCCAACACCCCACCACAGCCCCACGGCACCTTCCCCTGTAACCAGCGAAGGTGCAACACCTGCCCATTTACCTCCTCCGTCCTCAGTATCCAAGGGCCCAAACATACCTTCCAGGTGAAGCAACACTTCACCTGCACTTCCCAGAATCTAATCTACTGCGTTCGCTGCTCACAAAGTGGTCTCCTCTACATTGGGGAAACGAAGCGTAGACTGGGTGACCGTTTCGCAGAACATTTATGTTCTGCTCGTAAAAAAGACCCTGCATTACCGGTTGTCTGCTTCTTTAATGCACCATCCTGTTCCCTGGCCAATCTCTCTCTCTGGCTTACTGTAGTTTTCCAGTGAAGATCAACGCAAGCTGGAAGAACAACATCTCATTTTCCGCTTGGGGACCCTGCAGCCCTCCGGACTCAATATTGAGTTCAATAATTTTAGGGCCTAAACTCTCCCATGTCTCAGCCCCCTACCCCATGTACCAGGCCTTGTTAACCCATAGCCTGTTGTTAGTCACTAACAGTCTCCATTAACAACTATTCACCCTCCCAGCCTGATTGTCATCAACTCCGTTGTCCGTCCAACTGCTCTTCTCTCTCTTTACGCTCAATCCTATCGTTTACTCCCAACCCCATCCCTCTCCCCTATTTTCTGCATATAAACTGATGTTTTCCCAGCTACCATCAGTTCTGAGGAAGGGTTAACTTGAAATGTTAACTCTGATTTTGCCCTTCACGGATGCTGCCAGACCTGCTGAGCTTTTCCATCAACTTTGTTTTTGTTCCTGATTTACAGCATCCGCAGTTCTTTCGGTTTTTATGAAGATTACAGTGTTGTTCTGTGGTAAATGTGCACTAAATCTAATGTGTGGCATTTATTTAGGAGCCCTGGTGAAGACCAGAACACTGTGTATGAAACAGGAAAGCAAACTAATTCAATCATCATGACAACATTTGGCAAGAATTTCTCTCTGTTCAAAATATCCCTTTTACACGATTGGATTCCTGAAGCGATTAATAAGCTAACTGTTTGAGCAGGTCATTGTCTGATGAACACAATTGACCTTGAAAGATGGTGACCCCACAGCTGATAGAATGAAGGTGATAAGATCCCCCTGGGCTTTTAGCTACAGCTTGTAACTGCCCCTCAGGACGGCAATGCTGTAAAGAATGGACCTGAAAATGGATGGACCTTCAGACACAGAAACAGCCTCCTATAGTCCACCAGCCAACAGAGACAGACCTTTGTAAAGGTGTTATAGAACACAGAATATAGAACACAGTACAGTACAGCACAGTACAGGCCTTTCGGCCCATGATGTTGTGCCAAACTTTTACCCTAAACCTAAGGTCTATCTAACCTCCACCCCTACCTTATACTATCATCCACATGCCTATCTAATTGCCGCTTAAATGCTCCTAATGAGGCCGACTCCACTACCCTCTCCGGCAATGCATTCCACACACCTACCACTCTCTGAGTAAAGAACCTACCTCTGACGTCTCCCATATATCTACCTCCGCTCACTTTAAAACTATGCCCCCTCGTAATAGCTACCTCCACCCTCGGAAAAAGTCTCTGGCTGTCCACTCTATCTATACCTCTGATCATTTTATACACCTCTATCAAGTCACCTCTCATCCTTCATCGTTCTAAAGAGAAAAGCCCTAGCTCTCTCCACCTTTCGTCGTAAGACCTTCCCTCCATTCCAGGCAACATCCTGGTAAATCTCCTCTGCACCTTTTCCAGTGCTTCCACATCTTTCCTGTAATGAGGCGACCAGAACTGGACACAATACTCCAGATGTGGCCGAACCAGGCTTTTGTGTAGCTGGAGCTATATTATCTGTATATTGTATTGTCAGGACCATTCCTGAGATCAATGAATGCTGACAGGGGATCGAATGGGGGTTTTCAAGATGGTGAGATGATGTGCAGAAGAGAGAAAAACTAACAAGCTGTTAATAAATATTTATTACAGTTGGAATAACCTTAACACATGCAATAAAACAATGTTTCACCTGACCGCTCATCACTATCCATTACATAGACTCAAGTCCAGAGAAATTGTCCTCCAATCTCTTTAAGGACAAAAGTAGTAGAAACAGGAATGGACCATGTGACCCCTCAGGACTGCTCCATCATTCAATAGGATCATGACCGATCCGACACTCCCACGTTCATTTTCCTATGTTTTGTCCGTAGCCCTTGATTCCTCGACTGATAGAGAATTATCCATCATAACCTTAAATATACACAAGGACTGTGCCCCCACAGCTGTCTGATCCTAGAAGTTCCAAAGACTCACAACCCTGTGAGAAAAGGAACTCTTCCTCTTTTCAGTGTTCCATTGATGACCCTTCATTCTCTGAGTCTGCCAAATGGTCCTAATCTCTCACATGAGGGCAACATTCTTTCAACATTTACCCTGTCAAGCCGCTTAAGACTCCTATATGGACAGCCTGTTGGCTCTCTGGTTAGCATTGCTGCCTCACAACATGAGGGGCCTGGGGTCGATTCCACCCTCGGGTGACTGTCTGTGTGGAGTTTGCA